GCTGATTTGGGTCAGTGACCCAAGCAGTTCTGTTCCACAGATGATCTTTAGCTATAAGCAGGGACATTTTCCGTGATGAAAATGTATTTAAGCAGTTTTTCCCCGTGAAGTATGTTTCTGCGAACGTTGGCTCTCATTCAGTTTTGCCCCAGGTCGTTTAATGAGTTGAAGCTGAACAGTTAGATAAGAGTTCGGTAGCACCTTAGGAACCAACAAGATTTTCAAGGTAGAAGCTTTTGAGATCTTCTAGCAGGTGAATTACCACTTATATCCTGGAAACAAATGAGGATCTTTTTTGGTGTCTGTAATGTTTATCCATTAAAAAAACCCAACCCTAAATTGCACCCTTAAGGAGAATTTGGGTCCCAGGGAAGTCACTCATGCAGTAAATTCTAGAACAGAGTGGTGAAAGTGCATTGAAGTCTGTAGCCTGAAATATGTATATGGAATGTTCACTAGAAAGTAACAAAACTTCTGTGTGTGATAGGGCTGCCAGGTATGGATTGGGAAATACTTGGAGATCTTAGGGGTGGAGCCTGGAGGTGGTGGGCTTCGGGGAGAGGAGGGACCTCAGCATTTAGCGTAGAGGTTAGGAGCATGGACTCTAATCTGGGAGAACCAGGTTTGATTCCCCACACCTCCACATGCAGCTGCTGGTGTGACCTTTGATCAGTTACAAGTTCCTTCAGAGCTGTTCTCTCAGGAGCAGTTCCGGAAGGTGCTCTCTCAGCCCCACCTACCTCACAAGGTTTTTGTTGTGGGGAGGGGAAAGGAAATTGTAAGCCGCTCTGAGACTCCTTCCGGTAGTGAAGGGTGGAGTATAAATCCAGTCTCTTCTTCTACAATGCCATAGAGTCCACCCTCCAAAGCAGCAATTGTCTCCAGGAGAACTGGAGACCAGTTATAAAAACAAGAGAGCTCCAGGCCCCACCTGGAGGTTGGCAACCCGAATTCTAGAACTGGGGCATCACTGATTAAGTGCATCTGATTTCCTTAGGGCACTACTGGAAAATGTGTGGTCGCACAGCAGTTTCTCTGGGAGCAGATGGCATCCGTCGGGCCTGCACATATCGGGATAAGCAGGGGAGGAGGAGACACCCTGAATGGAAAAATGCAGACAAATATAGTCCATCCTACAATAAGTGTCCTCAGTCTATCAATCCTGTGCTTCTGTCCCAACAACACTTCGAAAAGGTGAATCCCTGAATTGTGTTTCGTCTGTATTAATGTATTATTTTTTAAAAATTGTATGTTGGGGCAGATATCTGGTCATTTAAGGTTGATAGATCTGTGTTTTTATCTATGGCTGTATGATCAGAATTTTACAAATCAGGGTAATTCTGTGTGATCTGTGGAGTTCTAGCAAAATGGGGATATTTGTTATGATGTTGCATTTGACAAGGACCAGGGCTTAAAAAAAAAGAAAAAAAAAAGAGGTGCTGGAACTCTCAAGAGGGAAATGAAGTTTTCAATCTGTATACTGAAAACTCATGAACTTTTAAAGATTTTTAAAAAGAATTTTGTCGGTTCCAGAACTCCATTCCGGCGCATTCCCCCAGAACAAAAGCCCTGACAAGGACTGTATTTAGGAATGGAAATGTTCATACTTCCAAGGAGTGCTTTAGCGCCCAAGCAATTGCTTACTGGGTCCCCGGTCACACAAGTGGATTTGGGCCGGGAGAGGGACGGTTCGGGGGTGGAGCAAATGGGCACGATCCCACGGCAAGATCTGGGAATCGTTGCCTGTCCGTCCCCGATCCGTCCCTCCCGCCCAAAACCCCCCACCAAAAAAGAACCACCTACCTAGGTGGTTCTTCGGAGAAGAGCGCCTCAAGCCCAGCCGTGGGATCGCCGGCGCGTCCTTGCACCGGCGCATCCCCGGCTCCTGGCCGAACTGCGCATGTGTGAGCATGCGCAGTTCGCCAGCCTCCCCTTCCCACCGTTGCTTTCTCCCCGGCATCTGATCGTGCCGGGGAGCGACGGCGCCGCAGCTCAGGGAATCCGTGGGATCCCGCCGCGGCGTCTCTAATTCGGTGCGGCTTTTAAAAGCCGCGCTTTGGATGCTTTTTTCCCTGCCGTGTGGCAGGGACCTCTGTATTCAATGGAAGACTTCATGCCAAGATTTCTAAACCATCTTTTGTTCTTGTAGTGGAGTACAGGTTTGATATACAAGTATGAAACTTGTCTAAAGATGTAGAATTCATATCAAATTATTTTAATAACTGCATGGGTCTGTACAACCAGTTGTGAAGGTGATCCTCCTCTGTTGTCATCTCTTCCTCAGAAGTTATTGGTTAGGATATGCAACAGTCCCAGTGAAGGGGTCAGAACTAAAGGATTTGAATGGAGCTGTTGTGCAGGCACCACCGCATCTGTGGATGCTGAATACTAGAATTATGCAGTGTAGTACACAAGTTATTTTTGTTTAGTCTGCATATTTCCAAGTTTCCCATATGTTTCAGAAGCATAAGTGGGAAAAGTTCTGGTGAAAATTAAGAGACACTAATCTTTCCTTTTACCTATAGTCTAAAAACATTGATCTCTCCACTTGGTTGCTGTAATACGATTTCCTTTTTTAAAAATGAATGTGCAGTAATATTTTAGCATTAATACGCTCATGGACCTGTATTGACAGTCCATTGTGTTTTTCAGCATGCCAGGAGGTTGATCGTTTGAACCTTGGAAACGATGCTTGTGCTGTGTCATGAGGTCACTTTTAGAAGCAAGGAAGTTGTTATATTTTGAAATAATTGCATTGCAAATCACTGCACATGTACAAATATAAAAACGCTCATATGATTATGTTTACAAGCATATCATTTTGCAAACGGCTTCCTCTTCCCCTTTCCTGCCTAGACACTCTAGATAGGAGTTCACACAGATGCTATAATGGCTATTTAATTGATTTTTTTTCCTTTGTGAATTTAATATGTGCTGCTGAACAGTCATTCAGTTTTTCCACTCTCCTAGGATGAGTACCAGTTGTTCCCCAAGCCAAGCACAATGGTAAATTAATCTGTCTGCCCACCACTCCTTGCCCTCTGCTGCACCTGCCACTCCTGGACCCCGAACTAGCAGCTGCTGTGCTGTGTTCTGTTGGCTAGGCAAGAGCAATAGAGCATGCTCTCTCCCTCCTGGCAGAAGAAGCAAGTTTGCATTCAGTAATAGTGTGTGGAGGGCAAAGAGGAAGGGGGTGTGCAGCCTTTTCGTGCAGTCCAGTACCTAAGCTATGAAGCCATCCTTCATTGATTTTGTTTCAGTTCATTTTACTATGCAGCAAAAGTACACATTGGTTTGTTGTTAAGTCAGTGCCATATTTTCAGATGTTTTAAACTGTCTATATGCTTGTAAAAGTCAAGGCCAGCAAGGTTTTTCTGATATTTGTGTTTGGTTCCGCTAAAAACCATAAATAAAGTGTTCTAAAGCCACCCGACCATGGTAATACTAAAAGTGAACTTAACTAGAAACTGTTAAAAAGCAGAAGTGAAACCCGTTAGTCTGTTTCAATTGTTTCCACTGAGAAAAATGCAAGCAATAATGGAAGGTAAGCTTTGAAGTGGTTATACAGCAATTTTAAAATCCTCCCCTACTGGAATTAGAAAGGTGCTGGCCTGCAAGTAACCTCTTACAACAATACTAGCCAATTCTGTACAGTCTGCAGCTGCAGGCTTGTGAGTAGCCTAGAGCTGAAAATGTTGCTGAAAAAACTTAGTAAAACTAAATTACTGGTTACAACATCAGTCTTTATATGAAAGCTTATACCTTGAATGAAACTTTTGTTGGTTTTAAAGGTGCCTCTGAATTTGGACATCGTTCTGCTGCTTCAGACCAACATGGCTACCCCACCTGAACCACTCTTTATATTGTCATCTTCAGTTTTTCTGTTTCATATGTGATCTCATCCTGTGGCTTGCCATCAGATGTTAAGTTTGCAAACATTGTATCTTCAGTTCTTTCTGCAGCTTTTGCTATCATGCTGATGTCTAGAATTGGAGCAACCTGTTGGTAAACTGCTACTAGCAGAGAGATCATAAAATACAGAGAGAAGTTGCAGTATCATCCTAAGTGGAGTTCATACCCTTCTAAGTCCATTGAAGTCAGTGGACTTAAGAAAGGTGTAACGCAGTTTAGGATGATGTTGTTGTTGGTCTCTTATAAACATAAAAACAATTTTTTGTGTTTTTTTTTTGTTAGCAGTCAGTGACTGAATTGACTAAGTTGGCTGCAGCTTCCACTATGTAACAAAGGAAAAGGTGAGAAGTAGAAGATCCTTTTGCCCCAACCCAACTAGTGTAGTTTGGGGTAGTGGTTAAGAGCGGTGGACTCTAATCTGGGAGAACTGGGTTTGATTCCCCACTCCTTCACATGCAGCCAGCTGGGTGACCTTGAGTCAGTCACAAGTTTTGTCAGAGCTGATCTCTCACGAGCAGTTCTCAGTCAGAGCTCTCTCAGCCCCACCTACCTCACAGGGTGTCTGTTGTGGGGAGAGAAAGGGAAGGAGATTGTAAGCTGCTCTGAGTGAAGGGCAGGGTATAAATCCAATCTCTTCTTCTTCTAGTGGCCATGTGCATATTTCTCTAAGTGGATGGGGAGCCACATGCACAAACACATGCTGCACATGCGGTTCCCCTCCCCAGTTCAATATCTGGGACTGTGCACAAACCATGCTACTTAAAGAGTAAACTCCTACTGATTGGGATGGTGAGTGAGGTGGAGCATTCAGTCTCTCTTCACTGCTAAGCAGCTGATTGGCAGGATTTTGATTTCTGAAAAGGGCTTTATGAGCACAGCACTGGCAGCTGTTTACACAGTGTATTCGGCAGGAGCTTCTAACTAAATTGTAATCTCTGTGAGTGCTTCTCAAGTTTTCTTTCTGTTTTTGTTATGAAAGGATTCTAGTTCTTCTGAGTATGTCCTTGTAGCCATGCGTTGGGGGCTTATTCCAGCCTGGTTCAAGGAAGACGAACCATCTAAAATGCAGTATAACACTTCGAATTGTCGCAGTGACACCATGATGGAGAAACTCTCATACAAGGTTAGTTTTGTGTAGCCTTCCACATGAAATAACACTTTTATACTTATCTCCTTCTGGCAATACTGTTAATTCCTTCTGAGCAAGACATGAGCACTGAATATGTTTCCCTAGCAGTATTACCCACAGTTGCCCTGGCTCACCAGGTGTAAATATTTCTAAACTCCATGCTGGGAACCAATGTCTTGATGTTCCTGAAAGGGAAGAGCACAGAAGGTGATAGCTTTTCACACGCTGCGCTTGACAGAGCACCCCTGAGCTAACCTGCTGCTTTATTTTTGTGCAGGTTAGGTTAGAGAGGACAATAAGACTGGGTGCATGGAAGGCTTTAGGAAATATGATAGTACAAGTGGACGTTCATGAACATTCACTGAAAGGTTTATTCCAAGAAAAAGCATGCTAGACATTTAACCTTTCTTGCCGCTCCATCATGTCTAGAGTGCACAGCCTCATCAGTCTCTAGACCCAGATGAAAGATCCACTTCACAGAAGTTTGGTGCAGGCAGAGCAACTTAGCCAATGTTGTGTGTGTGTGTGTGTGTGTGATTTGGCCTGTCCTGTATCTCTTATCTTGGTCTTCACTTTTGTTACCTTTTCCTCCTTCCATCCTTCTTTTATACCCTGATTTTGTTGCTCCTCCTTACTTAGAACTGTTGCTTCCTTCCAGAAAGCCACATTAGTTTTGCCTTGTTTATTATAATCTCCAACAAAGCATTGAAACACACAGATGTGAAATCACTCCTTTCTCTGGGATTGTGATGACTGTATGGTATTGTCCTAGCATTGTAAACAAATCTTTAGAAATCCCTGTAATGCTATGAATGCCACAGACGCAATATCTATAACTGTATTCTTTAAAATTTTGCTTTACTTCAGATAATTTTAGTTCACAGCTCCAGTGTGAACGCTCAGTGCTCTGATAATCACTTTCTGTAATCTATATATAATACTACTAGGGAGCAAGGTCCGTTGCGCAGGGGGATACAACGGGCAGCTAGCCCCCCCCCCGTCGCCTCCTCCTCTCTGTCCCCCGCACGGCTGTGGTGGGGGCGGGGAGGGGGGGAGCTGGCGAACGGAGCCTCCAGGCCCCATTCGCCGGCCTGTGGTGGGGG